TCACAGAATTGCGATGTGAGGTGTTGAGCAATTATTTAATGACACTTAAAAACATCAAAACATTGTGGATAAAAAGGTTTTTAAAAACAAACTAGAGGCTCTACTAGAAAACACAGTAAGTTGATGTCAAATGTTTCCAATAAACATGTCATCAGTGTTCTCAAAGGAATGGATGATATAAAAAATGATGAGTTCAACAGGGAAGCAGCCAAAAAGCAAACAGACTGACATGAGACCAGAAATAGGCAATCTCACTTGTGAATGTTGATTCAAAATCTTCATTAAGATATTATCAAAATCTATCCACTACATATTTAGAAGACAATATTTATAGCTTATGACTAAGTAGGGTTCACTTCAGGGATGCAAGAATATTTCAATATAAGGAAATCTAATAATGTAAACTCCACATTAAGAGATTGAAGGTAAAAAACCATATGCTCATTTCAATAGAGGAAAAATAAAGTTCTTCAGAACATTAAGCACATAATTAAAACCTTCTAGCAAACTAAGAATTGAAGGAAACTTCCTTACCTGATAAAGAATATCTATTAAAAACTTATAGAACTACCCAAAACAATCTACAGATTCAACACAATCACATCAAAATCCTAATGATGGATTTTTTTTTAGAAACGGAAAAATTCATCCTAAAATTCATATGGAAACTCAAGGGACCCTGAATAGCCAAAACAATTTTGAAAAAAAAGAGAACAAAGTTGGAAATCTCACACTTCCTAATTTTAAAACTTACCACAAAGGTATAATAATCAAAACAGTGTGGCACTGGCATAAAGGTAAACATACAGACCAGTGCAATAGAATAGAGAGCTCAGAGAAAAAACTCTCACATGTGTGGTCAAATAATTTCCATAAGGGTTTCAGGATCATTCCATGGGGAAAGGATGGTCTTTTCAACAAATGGTGCTAGGGAAACTGGATATTCACATGCCAAAAAACAAAGTTGGACTCTTACCTTACACCTTGTACAAAAAACTCAAAATGGATCAAAAACCTAAACATGAGAGCTAAAAGTATAAAATTCTTAGAAGAAAACGTAGGAGGAAATTTTGTAGCACTGGCTTTGGCAATGATTTCTTGGATATGGCACCAAAAGCACAGGCAACAAAAGAAAAAAATAGATAAAGTGGACTTTATCAAACTTAAAAACTTTTGTGCATCAAGGGATAATGTCAAAAGAATGAAAAGGCAGCCCGCAGAATGAGGTTAAATATTTCTAAATCATGGATTTGATATCCAGAAAAACAAAAAACTTCTACAACTCAACAACAACAACAAAAAACAAAACTGGATTTTAAAATGGACAAAGGACTTGAACAGACATTTCTCTAAAGATGACGTACAAGTGACCAATAACCACATGAAAAGATGCCCAACATCACTAGTCATTAAGGAAATGCAAATTAAAGCCATAATGAAAAAAAGAGGAAAAAAAAGCAAAGAAAGAAAGAAAAAAGCCAGCCATAATGAGATACCACTTACACTCATCAGGATGGCTATTATTAAAACAACAACAACAACAACAAAAATGCAGAAAATAACAAGTGTTGGTAAGGATACAGAGACATTGGAACATATGTGCATAGCTAGTGGCAATGTAAAATGATTTAGCTGCTTTGGAGAGTGGTATGGCAATTCCTTAAGAAATTAACACGGAATTCAATATGATCCATCAATTTTACTTCTGAGTATGCAGTATATCCAAAAGAAGTGAAAGCAAAGACTTGAAGAGATATTTATTTGTACACCCACGTTCATAGTAGCATTATTCACAGTAGCCAAAAGGTAGAAGCCACCCAAGTGTTCATTGACAGGTATATACATACAATGGAATATTACTTAGCCTTAAGGGAAAAAAAAGGTAGGAAATTTGGACATGTGCTGCAACATGGACGAACCTTCAAGACATGCTAAGTGAAATAAGCCAGTCACCAAAGGACAAATACTGTATGATTCTTCTTAAATGAGATTCCTAGAGTAGTCAGATTCATAGAGACAGAAAGTAGAATGGTGGTTACCAGGTGCTGGGGTAAAGGAAATATGGAGTAAGTGTTTAATAAATACAGAGTTTCAGTTGAGGAATATGGAAAAGTTCTGGAGGTGAATGATGGTAACGGTTACACAACAATGTAATGTGAATGTACCTAATACCACAAAACTGTATGCTTTAAAATAATCAAAATGGTAATTTTTATGTTATATATATTTTACAAAAAATTTTTTTTCAAAAGGTGCAGTTACCCTGCTGGTAAGGTCATGTTAAAAAAAAAAAATCCACATAGAGAAGGCATGTGGAAAGGGAGAGGCCATGAGACTTTGTAGAGAATCACTCAGATGTTTCAGCACACCAGCTGAGACCAGTCCCCAGATGATGCTACATGAGTAACTGCCAGCAAGACCAGCAGAAGAACTGAAACAGCTGATCCCAGCCCAGATTGAACAAATGAAGCCATGTTGTCTTAAGACACTAAATTTTGGGTTGGTTTATTATACAGTAAAGATAACTGAAGCAATATGCGTACAATTTAACCCAGCAATTCCATTTTCAGGTTAATATCCTACACCTAGAGAAATGTGTATACAAGGAAACATGTTAAATAAGGTTCGTTGTCTTATTCTCTGCAACAGTAGAGGAAGAAGGGAGTGAGGGAAAGAAAGCAAAAAAAAAAGGATAAGAAAAGAAATAACCTAATATCCTCATACAGATATATGGGGGAAATTTTGGGCATTTTTACATAATGGAATATTATACGGCAGTTATAAATGAACATTACAACATAAATCTGAAAAATGTAATGTTAAAAAAAGTTCATTGCGGAATAAATATAGCATGCTACTTTTTGCATAAATTTGAAATAGGCAAAAAAATTATGGATACATGCATATGCAGTAAAAAAATTAAATATTGCATGGGACTAATAAATGCTATATTCTAGATGTTGATTGCCTCTAGGGAGGGAGGAAGAGGAATGTTATTAAGGAAGGGTACCAGAAGGATTCATCTTTTTCTGTAGGTTTGTTTTTAAAAATTGATCTCCAACAACCATAGTAATAATTGTTTCAGGCAAGAATCAACAATGGTGAAAGTTTACTTAAAAGCAGGGTATTTACATAGTCTCAAAATATCTTCCCACAAGTTACTCATTAATTACAAAGAGAAAATATTAATTTTACAATAGAGAAACCTGTAAGTCTCCACCTTAACCAAGTGATCAAAATTAACATTAGCAGTAATAGGATAAAGATATCACATGCCTCCTGATCAGATGCAATGAGAAGAATACAACATCATTTCTGTAGTATTCCTGCCAAAAAACACATTATTTGGGTCTAATCAGAAAAAAAAAGGGTTCAGACAAACACTAATGAGGGACATTCTACAAAATAACTGGCTGGTACTCTTCAAAAGTGTAAAGTCATGAAATATAATGAAAGCCTGATGAACTGTCTATGATTAAGTGCCACTAGAGAGACATAATTAAATGCAATCTACGTTCCTGAATTAAATCCTAGACCAGAAGAAATTTTCTTTTGCTATAAAAAAAATTATTATTGTAACAACTAGCAAAATTTGACTAAGATCTGTAGATTAGATAATAGAACTATATCAATACCAATTTACTGATTTTTATCATATTTTGGTAATCAGAGAATGTTCTTGATTTTAACAAATATGCACTGGTATTTAAAAGTAAAGGAGCATCATGTTTGCAACTTACTCTGAAATGAGGGAGAGAGAGTCAAAGAGAGAGAGAACATGAAATCAAAATGTTAACATTTGGGATAATATGGGAAAGAGTACACAGAAATTCTTTGTACTACTTTTGCAACTTTTCTATAAGTCTGAAATTAATCAAAGTAAAAGTTTTAAAACTTATTTAAATATGACAAGATGTCAAGATTTGATAAAGTCAGTATTATTTTCTATACTTATCTGTATATTTGAAATATTTCAAAATTAATTTTGAAATAAATTTATTATGCATAAGTACATAAAAATTAAACAGGAGTAAGAAGACATCCACTGCATTGTGTTTTGCACCCTTAAAAACCACTAAATATCAGAAAAAGGACTTGGCCACATCAGACAACTTTGAATGACTGATTCCTAATGTGGTAAAAACCCCTTTCCTGCTCTAACTTTATCCAATAGAACCACCTTTAGTTTCCATAATGTTCCATGCTGCCTGTCACCTGCAAACATTTGTCCTGAGGTTCTAGAACACTTTTCCAGCCTTTTAATTGATTCAATTCTACCATTTAGGATTCAGCTTCGGTCAAGTCCTGGAAGGAAGTCTTTCCTGACTCCCAAAGCTAGACTGGATACCCTTCCGAATTCCCCCATCCCCCAGTGTCTCCTACTTGATATGATAGCAGTTATCATACTCTATTATAATACTGTCTCTATTTTCCTATGTCCTTTCCCATCCTGCAAGCTTCCTGAGAATAGGGCCTGTGTTTATCGGATTCACCGTTTCTATCTCCAGCCTCAGTCAGGCAGAGTGTCAGGCACATGTGTGCAATTGTCTGATGATTCAATAATTTAAATACAGGCTTTAAAGTTAAGTGCTAAGCCATCAAGCACAGAAATTCAAAACATATCACCTTAGAATAAAATGCAGCTAATTGTTTGAAATTGATCTTATTGTCTCTGAATATACAATCTTCTAAGATGTTTGGAACAAGGTTAGTGGCAGTGTTGATTAATGCCTTGAGCATTAGGTAATGCTTTGGCAGTAACTAATATCAAGGTCACATTCATTTACATCATTCTGATTAATTCTGAGAAAAAGATTCTTGCCTTGAAAGATCTACTTATGAGGTATCTTAGAACTGCAAGATTCTTCAAAGCAATTTGAAAGTCACAAGGCGGACATGAACAAGAAATAACTAAGGTTGGCCTGGGAGGGTGCAGAAATTAGTTAGGCCTCTGAGCGTCGCTGTTGACCACCTCAGCAGTTAAAGGCGGCGAGACATCCAATCCAACGTTACGGCTCCCACAACACAAAGGGCTGAGCGTTTGGACTGCAAGCTTCGGGCGCCAAAGAAATTCAGTCCAACAGCCCACTGGTACTCTGCACGGTGACCTGGGTCCGGTGAATGCTGGCTGTCTCGGACTCTGAGGAATAAAGACTGGAATCCCGCACTGGATGCTGGAAGTTGACTCAGAGAAAACCAACAGAGGGGCAATGGCGGCTCTGCAAAAGTTGCCACACGACAGAGCGCTAGTCCTGCTGTGCCTCTTTTTGGCCGCCCTGTGGGAGGCCGGAGTTGGGCAGGTTCGCTATTCTGTGCCAGAAGAGATCGACAAAGGCTCTTTCGTGGGAAACATCGCCAAGGACTTGGGTTTGGAGCCCCTGGCCCTGGCAGAGCACGGAGTCCGCATCGTCTCCAGGGGTAGGACGCAGCTCTTTGCTCTTAACCCGCGGAGCGGCAGCTTGGTCACGGCGGACAGAATAGACCGAGAGGAACTCTGCGCTCAGAGCGCCCGGTGTCTGGTGAGTTTTAACATCCTATTGGAAGACAAATTGGCTATTTATTCAGTAGAGGTAGAAATAACAGATATTAACGATAATGCTCCTCGCTTTGGAGTAGAGGAACTGGAGCTAAAAATCAGTGAAACGACTATGCCAGGATTCCGGATCCCTCTTAAGAGTGCGCATGATGCGGACGTGGGAGAGAACACCCTCCAGAAGTACGAACTTAACCCAAATGACCACTTCTCCCTGGACGTGCGAAGCGGAGTTGATGGGAACAAGTACCCGGAGCTGGTTCTGGAGCGGGCTCTAGACCGCGAAGAAGAGGCCGTTCACCGCCTGGTTCTCATGGCTTCCGACCGGGGCGACCCGGTCCGATCTGGCACCTCCCGCATCTGCGTGAAGGTCCTGGATGTGAACGACAACGCGCCTGTTTTTACACAGCCCGAGTACCGTGTGAGTGTTCCAGAGAATGTGCCGGTAGGCACCCGGATAGTCACGGTGACCGCCACTGACGCAGATGAGGGATACAACGCTCAGGTGGCATATTTTCTAGAGAAAAACCCTGGAGAAACCTCAGAGGTATTTGAACTTAAGTCAACATCTGGAGATATAACAGTTATTCGGAATCTAGATTACGAGGATGCCAAATTCCATGAAATTGACATTGAAGCTCAGGATGGTCCTGGCCTTCTGACCAGAACGAAGGTTCTTGTCACGGTTCTGGACGTGAATGACAATGCCCCAGAATTTTACATGACGTCTGTTACTAGCTCAGTTCCTGAAGACTCTCCTCCAGGGACCGTAATTGCACTTTTCAATGTACATGATAGAGACTCTGGGCAGAATGCATTTACTACATGTTCACTCCCGGAGAACCTTCCTTTCAAGTTAGAAGGATCAGTGGACAATTACCACCGACTGGTTACAACCAGAGCCCTTGACAGGGAACAGTATTCCTTTTACAACATCACTCTAACCGCTAAAGATGAAGGAAACCCGTCTCTGTCCACGGATGCTCATGTTTTGCTGCAGGTGGCAGACATCAACGACAACCCGCCTGCCTTCCCCCGCACGTCCTACTCTGCCTACATTCCTGAAAACAACCCTAGAGGCGCCTCCATCTTTTCAATCATGGCCTATGACCCAGACAGCAAGGACAATGCTCATGTAACTTACTCTTTGGCTGAGGACACCCTTGACGGGGTGTCCCTGTCCTCTTACATCTCCATCAACTCTGACACTGGGGTCCTCTATGCACTGTGTTCCTTTGATTATGAACAATTCCAAGACCTGCAGCTGTGGGTGATAGCGCAGGACAGCGGAAACCCTCCACTCAGTAGCAACGTATCATTGAGCCTGTTCGTGATGGACCAGAATGACAATGTGCCCGAAATCCTGTACCCCACTGTCCCCACAGATGGTTCCACTGGCGTGGAGCTGGCACCCCGCTCCGCAGAGCCCGGCTACCTGGTGACCAAGGTGGTAGCAGTAGACAGAGACTCAGGCCAGAACGCCTGGCTGTCCTACCGCCTGCTCAAGGCCAGCGAGCCTGGGCTCTTCACGGTTGGACTGCACACGGGCGAGGTGCGCACAGCGCGGGCCCTGCCGGACAGAGATGCGCTCAAGCAGAGCCTCGTAGTAGCAGTAGACAGAGACTCAGGCCAGAACGCCTGGCTGTCCTACCGCCTGCTCAAGGCCAGTGAGCCTGGGCTCTTCACGGTTGGACTGCACACGGGCGAGGTGCGCACAGCGCGGGCCCTGCTGGACAGAGATGCGCTCAAGCAGAGCCTCGTAGTGGCCGTCCAGGACCATGGGCAGCCCCCTCTCTCAGCCACCGTCACTCTCACCGTGGCCGTGGCCAACAGCATCCCCGACGTCCTGGCCGACCTGGGCAGCATCAGGACCCCCACCGACCCTGAGGATTCAGACTTGACTCTATACCTGGTCGTGGCAGTGGCTGCTGTCTCCTGTGTGTTTCTGGTTTTTGTCATCGTGTTGCTGGCACTAAGGCTGTGGCACTGGTACTCATCACGCCTGCCTCGGGCTGTGAGTGGCGGGTTGGAGGGTGTGCCTGCCTCGCACTTTGTGGGTGTGGATGGGGTGCGGGCTTTCCTGCAGACCTATTCGCACGAGGTCTCCCTCACCGCAGACTCGCAGAGAAGCCACCTGATCTTCCCCCAGCCCAACTATGCGGACACACTCATCAGCCAGGAGAGCTGTGAGAAAAATGATTTTCTATCAGCACCTCAATCTCTACTTGAAGATAAGGGAGAAGAAACATTTTCTCAGGTAAACTGTCTTTTACAATATACCTAATAGCTCTTTTGCTAAAATAAATATATTTACCTAATTACTTAGTTGCCTCCACTGTTTTATATCTTATTCCCCATATTCCCTTAAGGATATATTCAATTTTTAAGAAATGAGTCCTGGTAAATTATGTCTAGGTAGTTCTAAGTGTTCCCTGGCTGCAAAAGAGAAGAGGGGTTGAAGTCATTGTGTAATGAATGTAAATCAGGAGTTAGTAGGTGAAGATAATACTTAGATTATCAAAAGAGCACTGCATTAGGAACTGGGGTATGTGGTTTCTCATGCTTTCTTCCTCATCCCTGGGAAAATCATCTCATCTGCCTGGATCAACAATTCTTTCTGTCTTAAAAATATGAAGGTTGGGCCGGCCCATGGCTCACTCAGGAGAGTGTGGTGCTGATGACACCAAGGCCCCGGGTTCGGATCCCATATAGGGATGGCCGGTTAGCTCACTGGGTGAGTGTGGTGCTGACAACACCAAGTCAAGGGTTAAGATCCCCTTACCGGTCATCTTAAATATATATATATATATATATATATACAACACCAAGTCAAGGGTTAAGATCCCCTTACCGGTCATCTTAAATATATATATATATATACACACACACACACACACATATATGAAGGTTGGATTTTATGTTTACTCAAGTCCCTTCCTCCTTTAGAATTCAAGACTTTTGTTTTATATTTGTGTAAATATAAATACTGTGTATGCATAGTGAAATACCTTAGTTGGTTAGTTCTTTGACTCTTAATATTTTTCCTTTACTTTGTCAGTGAAGTTCTTCATTTTCCTTAGTTTGTATGCCCTTTTCTGTTAAACAGATTGAAACTTAGAAATATGCATTCTTCACAGTGTTTCAGGAAGGTATGTCATAGTATCTCTACTTAGTTAAAAATCACATTAGCCTGTAAAGTAGCAATGTGTTCCTTGAAGAAGTGATTGACTTATCATTTGCTTTGTAATAAATTAGTAGAGTAATAATAAACATGTTTCTCTTCACTGTTACTTTTTATTTTTCTCATATCTGAAAACCATATTGCCTTTCTATCTTTAAAAATATATATCCCCAATATAGCTTTGTTTAAAGAAAAGATACAAGGGATCCAGAGACCGTATCATACAATTGCCCCTAAAGATCCTCTTTTGTACATCTCTCTTAGTGTTTCCTACTCACAGCAGCTGCTAGAAACCTTCCCAATCCCTCATACAACCCCAGTCTTCCTCATAACCAGTATTTATTGCCCAGTCCTCTTCCCATGTTGGCTTTTAGTATGTTGGTTATAATGAACATACTAGTATTCTATTTAAATGGGATCATTTTTAAATTTTGATTTGTGAGTAATCATGTGTTAATTGAGCCTTGTATTTAATGGTATCATACCTCTCAGGGTGCTGTGATTATCATATTTAGGGGCATCTGATAAGGGAAAATTTGTCTGAAACAATGTATTCCGTTGTGTTTGTTACTATTACATAATTCTCTAAAATTGGAACTCACTGTGGAATAGTAAGTCGTAATATCTTTACTTGTAAATAAATAATAAAGTATGAACAGAGGAAAATTAAAGACAGGGTTCCTTTTAGTGTGCATGGTAATTCCACAAGAATAAATGCCTTATGCATAGGTATGTAATGCGTCATGATTGAAATGACAAATATATTGTATTTCTAGTTCTGCACTTAGGAAAATATACAGGGAAAGGGATTCTGGAACTAAAACAAAAGTTTATTCTTACTCATTTCCATTGTGGTTTTCAAAAAACACCCTCACACTCTAGATTTAGACCAAGTGAACTTCTTTCAATACCCTGAAGGTCTGTGGTTTCTCTCTCACATCTAGGCACTGCTATGCTGTTCTCTCTCTCACATTCAGGCCTTTTCTCTGATCCTCTCTTCCCATGTTTCCTGGGAAAGCCTTGCTAACCTCCAAGGCCAGGTTGGAGGCCCTCCCATCCCTCCTTAGCTTCTTTCATTATGACAATTATCTCAATGCACTGCAATTCCGTTTTCTTTTATATTCTCATAAACTCTGTGAAGGAAGTGTTCACCTTAAATCCCCAAACATATTGTCTGACATCCAATTGTTTGTTTAATGAATTGGTTAAATGAAAAATTATTAAAACTACGATGTCAGACTGTCAAGGACAACCTTGAAGAAATATAACCTATAAATATGACTGATATTTCTGCGTGGTTCTAAAACGGAAAATTTCAAAACGGTAACTCCACTATGTTTGAGGCAATATTGATGGTGTTAAAGCTAGTACATGGATTTCCAAAGAAGATAACTTGAAGTCACACCCTCTAACATATATAAATTCGATCATGTGAAATCAACACCAATCCCTTTATCTCTGACAAAAAGGATTTCAGGTGTTGAGAAACTAATAACTTGGGTTTGTCTGAGAGGGTGCAGTTAACGGGTAGGCCTCTGAGCGTCGCTGTTGACCACTCAAGAAGGAAAACGCAGCGGGAGCGCTAGTCCACCATTTCCTTGCTCCTAAACGGAAATCTGACTCAGAAGGTCCGGGGCGGCTACCAAGCTCACCCCTTAAGTCTGCCAGCTTTGTGACCTATGAATTAGACCCATCAAAGATTTAGATCCTTGAGAAAATAATGTTGATGTCCGTCGTGGGAAACTGGAACAGAATTTAAAGGAAATAATTTACCAAAAAAGGAAATGACCAATTTTCTGAAATTCCGAAACGGCAGACGGCTGGCCCTGCTGTGCGCGCTCCTGGGGACCCTGTGCGAGACAGGATCCGGGCAGATCCGCTACTCGGTTCCCGAGGAGCTGCAGAAAGGCTCCTTCGTGGGCAACATCGCCAAGGACTTGGAGCTGGAGCCCCAGGAGCTGGCGGAGCGCGGAGTCCGCATCGTCTCCAGAGGTAGGACGCAGCTTTTCTCTCTGAACCCGCGGAGCGGCAGCTTGGTCACCGCGGGCAGGATTGACCGGGAGGAGCTCTGCGCTCAGAGCGCGCGGTGTCTGGTAAAATTTAACATCCTGATTGAAGACAAATTGAAAATTTTTGAGGTAGAAATAGAAATTACAGATATTAATGATAATGCTCCTAATTTTCTGACAGAGGAATTGGAAATAAAAATTGGTGAACTAACGGTTCCTGGAACCCGATTTCCACTTAAAGCTGCATTTGACCCAGACGTGGGCACGAACTCCCTGCAAAACTACAAGCTCAGCCCCAATGACTATTTCTCTCTCGCTGTGACTAGCGTCTCCGGGGCCAAGTACCCAGAGCTGGTCCTGGAGCGGGCCCTGGACCGTGAGAAAAAGGAAGTTCACCAGCTTGTCCTCGGTGCCTCTGATGGTGGCCACCCTGTCCACTCTGGCAACTTGTACATCCAAGTGGTAGTTCTGGATGCAAACGACAACCCGCCAGTGTTTACTCAGCCTGAGTACCATGTAAGTGTTCAGGAAAACGTGCCGGTGGGCACCCGGCTGCTCACAGTGAATGCCACCGACCTTGACGAGGGTTTCAATGCTCAAGTGTCCTATATTCTAGATAAAATGCCTGGGAAAATCGATCAGGTTTTCGATCTCAACTCAGTGACTGGAGATATATCAATATTAAAAAGTCTAGATTATGAGGATACTATGTTCTATGAAATTAAAATTGAGGCACAAGATGGACCAGGTCTCCTTTCAAGAGCCAAGGTTCTAGTCACAGTTCTGGATGTGAATGATAATGCCCCAGAAGTTACAATCACTTCTCTCACAGGCTCAGTCCCAGAAGAAGCTACCGCTGGAAGAGAAATTGCTCTTATCAATGTGCATGACCGCGATTCTGGGCAGAATGGGCAGGTCACAGTTTTTGTCCTGGGAAATCTGCCATTTAATTTAGAAAAATCAATTGACCAATATTACCGTTTAGTGACAGCCAGATCCCTGGATCATGAACAGATGTCGGAATATAACATCAGTCTGAGAGCCACAGATGGTGGAAGTCCGCCACTGTCCACGGAAACTCACATCACCCTGCACGTGGCAGACATCAATGACAACCCACCCACCTTTTCTCACTCCTCCTACTCCGCTTACATTCCCGAAAACAACCCCATAGGAGCCTCCATCTTCTCAGTGACCGCCGAGGACCCAGACAGCGGTGACAACGCCCGCATCATTTATGCATTGACTGACGAAACCCTCCAGGGGGCTCCCGTATCTTCCTATGTCTCCATCAACTCCAACACTGGCATTTTGTATGCGCTGCGCTCTTTCGATTATGAGCAGTTTAGAGATCTGCAACTACTGGTGACAGCCAGCGACAGCGGGGACCCACCACTCAGTAGCAACGTGTCGCTGAGCCTGTTCGTGATGGACCAGAATGACAATGTGCCTGAAATCCTGTACCCCACTCTCCCCACAGACGGTTCCACTGGTGTGGAGCTGGCGCCCCGCTCTGCAGAGCCTGGCTACCTAGTGACCAAGGTGGTGGCAGTAGACAGAGACTCAGGCCAGAACGCCTGGCTGTCTTACCGCCTGCTCAAGGCCAGCGAACCTGGGCTCTTTGCAGTGGGGCTGCACACGGGCGAGGTGCGCACGGTACGGGCCCTGCTGGACAGAGACGCACTCAAGCAGAGCCTCGTGGTGGCCGTCCAGGACCATGGGCAGCCCCCTCTTTCAGCCACCGTCACGCTCACCGTGGCTGTGGCTGACAGCATCCCAGACGTCCTGGCCGACCTGAGCAACGTCAAGCCCTCCACCGACCTCGAAGATTCGGGTCTCACGCTATACCTGGTGGTGGCGGTGGCCGCTGTCTCCTGCGTCTTCTTGGTCTTTGTCATCATTCTGCTGGCGCTCAGACTGCGGCACTGGCACAAGTCTCGGCTGCTGCAGGCTGCAGGAGGCGGCTTGGTGGGCGTGTCCGCCTCGCACTTTGTGGGCGTGGACGGGGTGCGGGCTTTCCTGCAGACCTATTCCCAGGAGGTCTCCCTCACTGCGGACTCGAGGAGGAGTCATCTAATCTTTCCTCAGCCCAACTATGCAGACACGCTCATCAGCCAGGAGAGCTGTGAGAAAAGTGAGCCTCTGCTGGTATCTCAAGATTTACTTGAAACGAAAGGAGACTCCAATCTACTTCAGGTGAGTGTATTTCTTTCTTTGAATATTATAAAGAACAATTATACCAATGTGGTATTTTCAAGCTTTTTCACACATTTGAGAAATAAAGCAATGAGATAGTCATTAGTTCTGTTGTCTAAATATCTCTGGGCCTGTGATAGAACTGCATTTCCTGGCCTGCTTTTAACTAAGTAGGCCTAGATAACTAGTTTTGGCCAATACATTGTGAGTGGATATAAAGCATGTTACTTCCTGGAGAAAGCTGTGATTACCATTATGAAAATTTCCAGATCTCTAAGTTACTCTTTGTAATTGTGACTGCTTCTTCTATGTGTGTCCTTGAGCAACTATGATGAGAGAAGAGCCCTGTGGTTGATCCAACATTGGTCTGTATACCCATGATAAATAGGCTTTTTTCATTTTAAATCCCTGTGATTTGAAATTTGTCACTCCACCCTACCTAACCTATCCTGACTGATACAAACAAGTAAAATAAATATATAAATACAAGGTGTTTTATGCTCTCATATTACGTTGGACTCCTTTCAAGCCAGACCACACTCTTTTAATCTCAATTATATAAAAATTGTAGCATAAAAAATATACACGTTGGTCAAATGATTTTACCGGTAGTGCCTATTGTGTATGCCTAAAATGTGTGTGTGTGTGTGTGTGTGTGTGTGTGTATTCATATTGATCTCAGCTGTTTGCCTGAAAGTGGAAAGTTCACTTGCCCAAACTATCATGAGCCTTAAAGTGGTCTTTCTTGCCCATTGAGAAGGATAAAAAATGTAAAGGGATATGGCACAGCCTCTGTGGGAGATTTCCAGCCCATGCACTCCAACAGTGGAATAGGAGTCCTGATCATGGTCTACAGCCTTCTTTGGCCAGAAATTATTGGCCCCTTCTGAAATTTATGAAATTATTTTTACTCATGAAGACACATAAGAGAGTCATCCAAAATTAGACCAAAATATATTTCATTAGATCTCAAACAAAGGAACAGATCTCTCCTTCAATATATTAGGAAGAGGCATGTTCAAACCTGTGAGACAATTGGGCCTGAACAAAATAACTGTAAGCAGAGAAATGTGTATTCTCATTCAAATATGCAAACACATCACAATATAAAAGGCATGTAACCTTTGACATATCCAATATGAAACATAGACTACATATGTGTCATGAAACTACACTGAAAGAACAAAGGCAGTACAATTCCCACACACTTGTACAAATAATAAAAGTTATCAGAATCCCTTTTCACTAGAAAGTATTTTTTCCTGAATAATGGGCAAGAATTTATTACAGGAGAAATTCATAAAAAAAGGAACAGAATGTATAAAGGCATGAAGCAAGAAAAACAAGGAAAAGAGTGTCTTAGGAAAACAAATAATAGTCTGCTTTGACAGGAGTATAATATCATTATGGGTGAACACTGCAAAATAGTAGAATAAATTGTTGAGTGAGTGCATTTGATATAAAGGGATTTGTCTGAGTTACCCAAGACCAATTCAAGAATTAGAGGATAAGTTCCAAAATGGAGTATCTAAGGACTCTCAATGCTCTCCAAGATATGCCAGTGATCAAGTCAAATTCATTTCATTCATTAATAGTATGAATGGGCTGGAGCTGAGAACTGGCATTATAGAGTAGTGTACATGTGTTCATATAGAAAAGAAGCACTAGTTTCATAAAAATAAATATGGCTTACACAAGATTCAGTTTTATAAAAAGCGTGTATGCATGCCCAAATATTAAATTAGTTCCTTTAACAAAATGCCAGCCTTTGCTCTGCTTAACTGGGAGGATGGTCTATGTTTTATGAAAAAGAGCAATACATTAAAATAATTGTAGGGTCTTGATTTTCTTTTCTTTTTTTTTTTTTAAAGAGTATATCTTTCAGAACTATTGCTGAATTGATAGAGTATATATGGAGAGATTTAAAATACTAAATAAGGGAAGTTATTTCAATGAATTTACAGAAAGGTAAAGACCATAGTCCACTAAAAATGTGGATAAAAGTTAACTTACTCACTTGGATACATAAGTCATGCCAGAGTTTATAAACACAGTGAAATCATTGAAGATATTTTTACCCCCAAAACTGAAAAAATGGAATATGCCTTGTGAATTTTTTAAATGAAAAAAGAATACAAAATGATGAAGATGCATGTGAGACGATAAACTAGAAAATATCAAATTTAGAGGGAGATTGTGAATATTTGGTTCTTTCCAGCAAATTAAGAGAAAGGTACATAAATTCAAGAGGTTGACTGTGAGGATAAACAGCTGGGTAATATGCAGTTTTCCAAGACAACCTCCGGGTGCCGCTGTCGACCAAAGGGAAGGGAAAGTTCTCAGTTCTGCAGGAGCGTCAGGCAGAGTGCTTTCCGGCTTTCTCCCGTGCACATCAGAATGTGGACGCTGCCCTTGCGCACCCTCAAACGCCTAACAAACAGGTCTTACCCTCAAATCACAAAAGACCGGGGTGTTGTCGTTGATTTTTTAAAAAGCATCCCAGAGAAACCTTGAGAAGAAGCTTCCTGTAGAGTTCATAATATGCAGTGGAGTGCCAGAGAAGCTGAAACGATGAAAATTCAGGTACTGTTTCCCTTCCTGCTGTCTTTGTTCTGCGGGGCCATCTCCCAGCAGATCCGCTACACGATTCCGGAGGAGCTAGGCATGGGCTCGCGGGTGGGGAAGCTAGCCAAGGATCTGGGGATCAGTGTCCAGGAGTTGCCAGCGAGAAAACTGCGGGTTAGTGTAGAGGATTATTTCAACATTAGTGCGGAGAGCGGGGATCTGTTAGTGAGCGGTAGGATAGATCGAGAGAAGATTTGCGGGAGGAAACCTGAGTGTGCACTAGAATTCGAAACTGTCGCTGCAAACCCAATGAATGTTTTCCTCGTGATAGTTGCAGTCCAAGATATTAACGACAATGCACCACGTTTCATTGCAAAAGGCATTGATTTAGAAATCTGTGAGTCAGCCTTACCAGGAGTAAAATTCCCTTTGGTTTCTGCACAAGATGCAGATGTAGAAAGTAATTCACTGAAGATCTACACCATCAGCCCCAATCAACACTTCTCTCTGTCAACAAAGGAAAGTCCTGATGGAAGTAAATACCCGGAATTACTGCTGGAAAAACCTCTAGATAGGGAACATCAGAGCTCCCATCGCTTAATACTGACTGCCATTGATGGAGGGGACCCGCCTCTAAGCGGCACCACCCAGATCCGGATACAAGTCACTGATGCCAATGATAATGCTCCAGTGTTCAGCCAGGATGTTTACAGAGTTAGTCTCCAAGAAAACGTGCCCCAGGGAACCCCTGTGCTGCAGGTGATGGCCACAGACCAGGACGAGGGTGTTAATGCAGAGATCACCTACGCCTTCCTCAGTTCCCCCACGAGCCTCTTATTCCATCTCAATCCGAATACCGGTGACATCACAACCAATGGGACATTGGACTTTGAAGAGACAAGTAGGTACGTGTTGGGTGTAGAAGCCAAGGATGGAGGAGTGCACGCGGCTCACTGTAACGTTCATATTGAAGTTGTTGATGAGAATGACAATGCCCCCGAGGTGACATTCATGTCCTTTTCTAATCAGATTTCAGAGGACTCAGACCTTGGATCCGTAATAGCCCTCATTAAAGTGCGAGACCAGGATTCTGGGCAAAATGGTCTGGTGACCTGCTATATTCAGGAAGAAGTTCCCTTCAAATTAGAATCCACCTCCAAGAATTATTACAAGCTATTGATTGACAGGACCCTAAATCGGGAACAGACCGCAGCTTACAACGTCACTATTATAGCCACAGACAGTGGCAAGCCTCCCCTCTCCTCCAGCACAAGGGTCACCTTACACATTGGCGACGTCAATGACAACGCTCCGGTTTTCCACCAGGAGTCATACGTGGTTCACGTGGCTGAGAACAACCCACCTGGAGTCTCCATCGCCCAGATTAGCGCCTCAGACCCGGACTTGGGTCCCAACGGCAGCGTCTCTTACGCAATCGTGGCCAGTGACCTGGAGCCGCGGGTGCTGTCGTCCTACGTGTCCGTGAGCGCACAGAGCGGGGTGGTGTTCGCGCAGCGCGCCTTCGACCACGAGCAGCTGCGCGCCTTCGAGCTGACGCTGCAGGCCCGCGACCAGGGCTCGCCCGCGCTCAGCGCCAACGTGAGCCTGCGCGTGTTGGTGGGCGACCGCAACGACAACGCGCCGCGGGTGCTGTACCCGGCGCTGGGGCCCGACGGCTCGGCGCTCTTCGACACGGTGCCGCGCGCGGCGGAGCCCGGCTACCTGGTCACCAAGGTGGTGGCAGTGGACGCAGACTCGGGACACAACGCCTGGCTGTCCTACCACGTGCTGCAGGCCAGCGAGCCCGGGCTCTTCAGCCTGGGACTGCGCACTGGCGAGGTGCGTACGGTGCGTGCCTTGGGGGACAGGGACGCAGCCCGACAGCGCCTATTGGTAACTGTGCGCGACGGTGGACAGCCACCTCTCTCGGCCACCACCACGCTGCACCTGGTCTTCGCGGACAGCTTGCAGGAGGTACTGCCAGAGCTCAGTGACCTCCCTGTGCCCTCGGACCCCCAGGCCGAGCTGCAGTTTTACCTGGTGGTGGCCTTGGCCTTGATCTCCGTGCTCTTCCCTGGGACTGCGCACGGGCGAGGTGCGCACGACTCGCGCCTTGGGGGACAGGGACGCGGCCCGACATCGCCTGCTGGTCGCTGTGCGCGACGGTGGACAGCCACCTCTCTCGGCCACCGCCACGCTGCACCTGGTCTTCGCGGACAGCATGCAAGAGGTACTGCCAGACCTTAGTGACCGTCCAGTGCCCTCTGACTCCCAGACCGAGCTGCAGTTTTACCTGGTGGTGGCCTTGGCCTTGATCTCCGTGCTCTTCCTTCTCGCGGTGATTCTGGCCATCGCCCTGCGCCTGAGACACTCCTCCGGCCCCGCCGCTGGCGGCTGCTTTCAGCCTGGTCTCTGCTCCACCCTTGGACCCGTGGTTCTCCCCAACTACAGCGAGGGGACTTTGCCCTATTCCTACAACCTATGCGTTGCCTCACATTCTGCGAAGACAGAGTTTAACTTTCTCAATGTAACACCGGAAATGGCGCCCCCTCAAGATCTTCTGTGTGATGATCCTTCTATGGTAGTATGTGCCAGTAATGAAGATCCCCAAATGGCTTATGACTCTTCCTTTTCCTCTCACGTGAGTTTCCGCAAACCTATTTAAATTTTATATATTGTGTTTGCTTCTCAATAGTGCATAATTAATTTTGGTCATTCTTCATTGTCCTAGTGATGGTATCTAGTGGAGGAGAGGTGTTTTGAGTGGGTGGAGATTGGTTCCTTGATTGCTCAGTAGTCATGGTAATTACCTGATTACTAATTTTCAGTCTTTACTGTTGGCATTTTCTATATGGTTGGCAAATCTTGCTAAAAAGAGCTGTTTGTTGGGTGTCACCACCTCTAGTAATAGCAGTGTCATCTCTTAGTTGATGTATGATACTTTTTTCCAAGTATTCTTATGCTTAACTCTTTATAAATATATTGACAGTTCTCTCTGCCCAAGTTAAATTTTACATTTATCTTCATCAATTACATTCTACTTCTTTACCTTTTTGCTATAAGGTGTATATTTAATACAGCCTTCCAATAAATAAGTCTCTCAGCATTTCTTCATTTTATCACAAGTAGCAAAGATGATCAAATTTTACATCTGAGTCACTGATTTTGGGTGAATATTATTCCCACTTCATAATTTCACTGAAGGATGTTCCATACCTTTCCTAACCATCGTTAAAACATTTATTTTTATCCTCTTTCTACTTTGTTACTATTATAGTAAAGAATGTAATAAACATTTTTTGTAAAGCCTTTCTCATATTTCTCATTATTTCTTTAGTATGGTTTTATGAGAAATGAGTCAAATCTACAGTTTCAGATTTTTTATGCGTATTGTCAGATTTATTTCCAAAACATCTCATTTTATCTCCCAATCTCCAGCAATTTGTGAGTACTTTGAGAATTGTGAGTCCTTTAATCTACTCTCTCAAAGTCTGAAGATTTAAAAATTCTGTATAGTTACTGGACTCTTGTGACGTTAAAACTTATGAGTCATTTCTAGATACTAATTGTTAAGTGAGAAATAATCTAAACAGCTGGTGATTTACTGCTTTATTTCAAATATTCTCAGATTAGTAAACTACTTTAAGTATTCCTCAATCAGAAAGCTATGAAACATGCAATGATCATATATATACAACCACTAAAATATTTCCTTTTACTGGTTATTATAAAATCAAAGCTCACATCACCTTAGAAATAATGGTAAATGGGCTGGCCAGTTAGCTGCATTGGTTAGAGCACAGCCTGGTAACTCCAAGGTGAAGGGTTCAGCTCCCCATACCCACCATCCACCAAAAGAAAAAAGAAATAATGGTAAAATAATACTAGATGTGTATTACATGGAAAAAATCACTGAAATATTATCTGCTCTTTACAACACTAACTTTTCTGTCTTTTTACCTCTGTCGTTTACTTTTAAGATCAGAGTTGTTTACACATTGTTTTAGGCTTTCCATTTACATTGATAACTCATTCATGAAACATTGAAAAAATATTTGTTGACTACCTTTATGAAAGACACTGTTATAAAGATTGAGGACCCACTGTGAACAAGATAGTTACAAGCATAACATGTGGCCTAGAATCTAGTATATACAAAATTGATGACCAAATTATCTTCCCAAACCTATTATATATTATCGTATTCTCCAAGCCCATTTACACAGGGGTAGAACTGTCTCTTGAACAGTACATATTTTCTTGCAAGGTAATTGAATAGTTGCCTCAGGTTCTAAAGGGTCAGCTCAAGTGACCCTTTTTTTTGTTTGTTTCTGCATAGTTTAGGACTAGAGTCTGACCTCCAAGCTTCCTTGCCACGTTGTCTTTTCACCTGTCTCTTCCTTCATTCTTCAAGTCCACTCTAGCTCCTAGGAGGGATGACTGCCTCTCTCACACAATACACTGCACTGAAAATGGGCTATGGGATGAATAATGTGAAAACAGAAAAGAGGTTTAAAAAAAATTCTTAGCAAAAAGAATCACCATTTACCCAAAAAAATAAATAACTTTATGAAGTTTATTGTACAGGAAGCTGTGGATCATTCCAAATCAAATGACAGGAATTTGGCTTTTATTTTCTTGGTAAAAATAGGATTAGGAATGGAAATGTATAAAAGTGATACCTTATTTATCAAGAATAAATTGCAGTGACAAGGTTAGGACTCTGAGTGTCGCTGTTGATCAACCGGGGGAAAAAAGACAACCAGAAATTCAATTCGAACCACGGGATTTCCGCAGCACAAAGCACTGTTTCTGGGGCTTTACAAAAGCTCCACCCTAGACCCGCGAGTGCTCCAGCATCCAACGGTGAAAGCACAGTATTTTGGACCCCGAAGATCCTAGGACTCCTCAGGTCTCCACAGAGGGAAAACCCAAGTGCAGGCTATTCTGCCGCGGGGCTGTAATGGCGTCTCCCCCTTATCGCCCAGAGTGCAGCCGGCTGGTCCGGATCTGCGTTCTCCTGGGGGCCCTGTGGGAAATTCGGGCTGAACAGATCCGCTACTCCGTGCCTGAGGAGCTGGAGAAAGGCTCTTTCGTGGGCAACATCGCCAAGGACCTGGGGCTGGAGCCCCAGGAGCTGGCGGAGCGCGGAGTCCGCATCGTCTCCAGAGGTAGGACGCAGCTCTTTGCTCTGAACCCGCGGAGCGGCACGTTGGTCACGGCGGGCAGGATAGATCGGGAGGAGCTCTGCGACAGATCTCCGAAGTGTGTGGCAAACCTGGAGATTCTCCTAGAGGACAAAGTGAAGATTTTTGGAGTAGAAGTGGAAATAACAGATGTTAATGATAACGCGCCCACCTTTGGAACAGAGCAGAGGGAAATAAAAGTTGCTGAAAATGAAAATCCTGGGACAAGATTTCCTCTTCCTGAAGCTTTTGATCAGGATGTAGGGATCAACTCCCTACAGGGTTACCAACTCAGTTATAATGGTCACTTCTCCCTGGCCGTGCAAAGCGGGACCGATGGGATTAAGTACCCAGAGCTGGTGCTAGAGCGCGCCCTAGATCGCGAGGAAGAGGCCGTTCACCACCTCGTTCTCACCGCCTTCGACGGAGGCGACCCGGCTCGCTCTGGCACTGCCAGGATTCATGTAACACTTGTGGATACCAATGATAATGCTCCCGTATTCACTCAGCCCGAGTACCATGTGAGTGTTCAGGAGAACGTACCTGTGGGCACCCGTCTACTCACCATAAAAGCTACTGATCCAGATGAAGGAGCCAATGGAGAAGTGACGTATTCTTTCCGGAAAGTGAGAGACAAAATATCCCAGCTATTCCAGCTGAATTCTCTGAGTGGAGATATAACAATATTGGGGGATCTAGATTATGAGGACTCTGGATTCTATGACATAGATGTAGAAGCCCATGACGGTCCTGGTCTTCGAGCCAGAAGTAAGGTACTGGTGACCATTCTGGATGTAAATGACAACATTCCAGAAGTCACAGTTACATCTCTCACCAGCTCAATCCAAGAAACTTCTTCCCCAGGTACAGTCATTGCACTTTTCAATGTGCATGACAGTGACTCAGGAGAGAATGGCCTTGTCACATGTTCTATTCCAGATAATTTGCCATTCACACTTGAAAAGACCTATGGAAATTATTTTCGGTTACTGACACGCAGAACTCTGGACAGGGAAGAAGTCTCACAATATAACATCACAGTAACTGCCACTGACCAGGGAACTCCACCACTGTCTACAGAAACTCACATCATCCTGCATGTGATGGACATCAATGACAACCCACCAGCCTTCTCTCATGCCTCCTACTCTGCCTACATTCCTGAAAACAACCCCAGAGGAGCCTCCATCATATCCATGACTGCCCAGGACCCTGACAGTGGTGACAATGCTCGAGTCACTTACTCCCTGGCTGAGGACACTTTCCAGGATGCACCCTTGTCCTCTTATGTATCCATCAACTCCAACACTGGTGTTCTATTTGCACTGCGCTCCTTTGACTATGAGCAGTTTAGAGACCTGCAACTACTGGTGACAGCCAGTGACAGTGGGGACCCACCACTCAGCAGCAATGTGTCACTGAGCCTGTTTGTGCTGGATCAGAATGACAATGTGCCTGAGATCCTTTACCCCACCCTACCCACAGATGGTTCCACTGGCGTGGAGCTGGCACCTCGCTCTGCAGAGCCTGGCTACCTGGTGACAAAGGTGGTGGCAGTGGACAGAGACTCAGGCCAGAATGCCTGGCTGTCCTACCAACTGCTTAAGGCCAGTGAGCCTGGGCTTTTCACAGTGGGGCTGCACACGGGTGAGGTGCGCACGGCGAGGGCCCTGCTGGACAGAGACACAGTGAAGCAGAGCCTCGTGGTGGCTGTCCAGGACCATGGCCTCCCCCCTCTCTCAGCCACCGTCTTGCTCACCGTGGCTGTGGCCGACAGCATCCCTGATGTCCTGGCCAACTTGGGCAGCCTCAAGCCTTCAGCCAATCCAGATGACTCAAGCCTCACACTGTATCTGGTGGTGGCAGTGGCCACAGTCTCCTGTGTCTTCCTGGCCTTTGTCATTGTGTTGCTGGCACTCAGGCTACGGCGCTGGCACTCATCGCGCCTGGGTCAGGCTGCAGATGGTGGGTTGGTGGGGGTGCCCACCTCACACTTTGTGGGCATGGATGGGGTGCAGGCTTTTCTGCAGACTTATTCCCACGAGGTCTCCCTCACCGCGGACTCAGGGAAGAGTCACCTGATCTTCCCCCAGCCCAACTACGCGGACACACTGATCAGCCAGGAGAGTTGTGAGAAAAGTGATCCTCTTCTTATAAATCAAGATGTACTTGAAATAAAAGATCCCAATCTTCTTCAGGTGAGTTGATCTTATAATAGATCTTATCAAACTGAAATATAGGCACAGAACTGTGTAAATGTCTCCAGTTGTGTAAGATATGTAATATATCACATAAAGGCACCTCTTTATTAATATTCTACTGCTTTAAAGGGGAGAGGCAGACGATTCCTCAGTAATGATCAATAATATTCATTACATAAAAAAGTTGTTTATTGGGCCGGCCCGGTGGCGCACTGGATAGAGCGCCGCTTGGGAGCGTGGCGGCGCTCCCGCCGAGGGTTCGAATCCCATGTGGAGACCGGTTCCCGCTCACTGGGTGAGTGAGGTGTGGGCGCAACACAGAGGGTTGCGATCCCGTTGCCGGTCCCTGGTACAGGCGCGACACCGAGGGTTGCGATCCTGTTACCGGTCAGTAAAAAAGACCAAAAAAAAAAGTTGTTTATTGCTTTTCCTTTTTGTTATTTATTCAGTTGTAGTTTCAGCAGGAATTTCTTAATTTTATACCTCTAAACCATCTCCCTTCTTTAAATGATATTTTCCTTTAGGCATTACTGAAAGGATAGATTAGACCTGTGAAACAGAAGGCAATTGTGTAAATTTGTATTTACAGCATTCTTTCCCATGAAGCTTTTGTTGAGTCTGGACTAAATATTGTTAAATTCCTTTTTACACTCCACCGTGTTTTTCTTAAAGTTTACTTTTCTTCCTTGGAAGGGTATTTTTCTTTATAATTAGACAATGGTAATTTATGAATACTGGCAATTTATGAATTTAAATTTTAGATATAACTTTAACAGGGATATTTTCTCAATGGACTGGTACATCTCAAATATTTTGTTGTTCTGATGTGCACCAACAATGACCATGTGATTCCTTTGGCACACTTCTGCAATTACCAAAAATATTGCTCATTTTATTTCACTCAGGTAGGTGGTAGGAGTAATTTTAATAATTTCCAAATTAACTATTATGGCATCACTATTGAGATCCTTCTTTATTTCCAAGGAAAACATAACTTTTTGAAGTCTTTCCAGTGTTTCATCATGTGAACCTCTTACCAAGGTTGGGTAACTTGGATTCTGGACTGGTACGAATCACGCTACTTAGTAGGTTCACCTCATCCCTGTCCCTACAAATTGCTCTCAAATAGCCCTGTGACTGTGTGGCTCTGGGATGATCTGATATAAAGGGAAATATTTTGTGTGTAAGGGATATGCAGCACTTTTGTTCCTTGTGACTTCATTTAGTGCTATGAGTTAATGCAGAATTTATACATGCTATGGCTACACAGATTGGTGTATTTTGATGACTGGAAGTTGTAGCAGTATATTGTGTGAAATGCCTCAATTCAACTTAAGAAGAAGAGTTTTAGTTTCCACATGGTTTTGTATTCATGGGAAGTTGTGGTGCAACTGGAATGCAGTACGATGCAATGAACTGGCTTGGGGAGAGCAAAGAGGAAATAACAAGTGAATATTGAGAGTAACTTATATCTGAGGAGAGATTCTTTAAAATAATAAAGCCCTAAAATGTAATTTGGAAATGCTCAATTGGCCTGAAACTGTGTGAAACATATTTGGATGCTGCTGTTAGGAATATATTCCAGAATCAGAGTGTACAAGTTTTGGCTTAAGAGAGCAGTAGATAATTTATACCTAGTATTAAGTGGAAAAATATGTTTTTGTTTACCTGGGAAGTGGGTTTCTTTTAGAAAATAATATTTCTGATTAAACAAATCATTGCATATCCATTTTATGGACTACTCCACAGTTATAAGAAATAAATGGAAAACCTCTTTATGTATTGATATGAAATGATCTTCAAGATACAATGAATGAAAAAAGCAAGGTGCAGACCATGTTATATTGTATGCTGACATTTGTGTAAAAAAGGGGAAGAACACAAAGATCTGCCACACTATACAAAACATATCTCTGGAAGGATACACAAAAAACATAACATAATATCTTCTGGGAGAAATATGTTATCACAAGCAGGGATGAGAGGGAGATCCCATGCTTTATGTACCTTTCGGTTTTGAAACGGTGTTATTATATTACCTATTTTTAAATAAATACTCTATAAAGCCAAGAAAGAGAGAAAAAAGTCATTTGCAAACGTTTACAAGCCCTTGGTGTAGTTTCCTGAGAAAACCTCTGGGCGTCGCTGTAGGTCAAAAGAACGGAGAGAAGATGTGAGAGACGCATTTGTGAGCCTCTTAGAGGCTAACTTCCTGCTCAGACCAACACAAAGGAGGCCAGTAAAGATTCGCATAGAGAAAGCAAAAGCAGCAAAAGTGATCCTGCCTCGGACTCTGCCATCCACGGAGAGCTGATTCCTCCTCTGCAAAGGAGCAGAGCAGCGGCGGAGAGAGACAGAGGATGAGGCCGAACGCGGGGAGGCGCGGCCGGGCGCTGTGGCTGCAGGTACCGTTGCCCTTTCTGCTGTCTTTGTTCCGCGGGGCTCTCCCAGACCAGATCCGCTATTCAATTCCCGAAGAGCTGTCCAAGAACTCTGTGGTAGGAAACCTCGCCAGGGATCTGGGACTCGATGTCCGGGACTTGCCGGCCCGGAAGCTGCGGGTTAGCGCGGAGGAGGAACATTTCACTGTACACCTAGAAAGCGGAGACTTACTTGTGGGTGACAGAATAGACAGAGAGCAGATTTGTGGGAAGAAGCCTCTGTGTATTCTGGATTTCGATACTGTCGCTGAAAACCCACTAAATATTTTCCACGTAGCAGTAACTGTGCAGGATATAAATGACAACATTCCGCAATTCAAACAGAGTCAGATTGATTTAAAAATTAGAGAATCCACTCCGCCAGGTACAGCATTTCCATTAGACCCAGCCCTGGACTCAGATGCTGGCCCTAATTCACTGCAAAGATACCACCTTAATGACAACGAGTACTTTGAACTTGCAGAGAAACAGACTCCAGATGGATGTAAATATCCTGAATTGATTCTGAAACATTCTCTGGATAGAGAAGAGCACAATGTCCATCAGTTGGTCCTCACAGCTGTGGACGGTGGGGACCCTCCCCAAAGTGGCACCATCCAGATTGGAATCCAAGTCACTGATGCCAATGACAACCCTCCAGTGTTCAGTCAGGTTTTGTATAGGGTCACCCTGCGGGAAAACGTGCCTCTGGGATTCTCAGTGCTTCAAGTGATGGCCACCGACAGAGATGAGGGCACCAATGCGGACATCATCTACTCCTTTCATAATGTGGACGAGCGAGTGGAACACATTTTTAACTTAGATAAAAGAACAGGAGAAATCACAACGAAGGATGATTTGGATTTCGAAATTGCTAATAGCTACACTCTGAGTATAGAAGCCAAAGATCCTGGAGATCTAGCAGCCCATTGTATTATACAAATTGAAATTCTCGATGAGAACGATTGTGCACCTGAAGTGATTGTGACTTCAGCATATACTCCCCTACCAGAGGATTCACCGCCAGGAACAGTGATAGCCTTGATAAAAACTAGAGACAGAGATTCTGGAGAAAATGGAGAAGTTTACTGCCACGTGTTGGGAAATGCTGAGTTTATATTGAAATCTTCCTCGAAGAACTACTACAAGTTAGTGACAGACAGAACCCTGGACCGGGAGGAGATCCCAGAATACAATGTCACCATCATGGCAACTGACAGGGGCAAGCCGCCCCTCTCCTCCAGCATAAGTATCACCCTACACATCTCCGATGTCAACGACAACGCCCCAGTTTTCCAACAGTCCGCCTACCTGGTCCATGTGCCAGAAAACAATCAGCCTGGAGCCTCCATCGCTCGAGTCAGTGCCTCCGACCCGGACTTGGGTCCCAACGGCAGCGTCGAGGAGTGACTGCCGGACCTTAGTGACCGTCCAGTGCCCTCTGGCTCCCAGACCGAGCTGCAGTTTTACCTGGTGGTGGCCTTGGCCTTGATCTCCGTGCTCTTCCTCCTCGCGGTGATTCTGGCCATTGCCCTGCGCCTGAGACACTCCTCCAGCCCCGCCGCCTGGGGCTGCTTTCAGCCTGGTCTCAGCTCCAAGTCTGGATCTGGAGTTCTCCCCAATTGCAGTGAGGGAACATTGCCCTATTCCTACAATCTGTGCGTTGCCTCACAGTCGGCTAAGACAGAGTTTAATTTTCTCAATGTGACCCCAGAACTGGCTCCCTCTCAGGATCTCCTCTGTGATGATGCCTCTTGGGTACCCAGTACAAATCATGGAGACGCTGGGGTCCCATTTCCCTCAGATACTATTTTAAAGGTGAGCTTTAATTTAATTCATTTATTTCACTTTGGGTTTTAATGTTTCTTAACAAATCACCTAACTGGATTTCCATTGCATATTTCATTGAGTTGTGAGTAGATTTGGGTAGTGTTCTGCTTTCATTATTTTCATATTAGCTTACCAATTTTTTTTTCCCGACTGCTGACTGGGACAGGGATCTGAACCCATGACCTCAGTGTTATAAGGCTGCACTCTAACCAACTGAACTAACCGAGCATCCCTTACCAAATCTTAATATGGTTTTCTATCTGAAGTGTGAGATTTATTTTGCCATAATTACAAGCTTTTACCACATAAGATACTGTACTTCTTTTTCTTCTTCATCTTTACATTCCATCCCTATGATGATTTGTTACTACCTACCTTTCACCTTCAGGATCGTTATTACTCAAATTTCAGCTTTACTTCATCTTAGAATCATTGTACTTTAGAGGAAAGAGAGCACTCATCCTACTAGTTTGTGGAAACCGGACACCAAAGAAAGGAAGAGTTTTGTGCAATGTCATGGCTTGTTAACACCAGAGCACGGGTAGAACATTGTTCTACTGACTTGAAGACCAACACTCTTAAGTGTTTACAAGATAAGTGTCTTGGGATCCCAGATTTATTTTTAAAGGATAAGCAATGCTTGAGGTCTGAGGTATCTTCTATAAAGAG